TTGAGCAGTTCGACAATTTTTCTGAGCTGCGCCATCGCTGGAGAACGCCTGCTTCCATGGTTTCCGCACATGGTTGCTGATCGTGTGTAGTTCTTCTGCCAGCTCTTCGCATACAGCTGGCCAACCGTCACAATATTTCCTTTAGTAGAACCACTTGAGACGCTGCGACCCTCATCAATCGGAGCACAGCCTGCAACTGCGCGACAGAAGGAAGCCCCGTAGATTGTCAGTCGGCCTGTTGCAGAAAAGAATCGGTGAAAAACGAGAATCACAAAGTTGTCTCCAACCCCGAACTGGTGAATGATGAATACCCCTGCGCCTCAAGAGGTCGCACTTTGCAAGCTGAATTAGCAATGACCAACCAATTTCTAAAAGCAGACAGTCTTTTCGGCCAAGCAACTCATCTGGCAGCCCACAGAGGACGACCAACACTGCCCGATAACCCAATGTCGTCTCCCAATTTCCACCCACCAGATCCCGTAAGCGAGCGTGTAACAAACATCTCAAAAGGGAGTGATCTCAATTCGCCAGTCTTCAATATCCAGTCCCGCTCAGACAAAGACGGATGACAACCAAGGGTTGCAATCTGGTCCACCAGTGTCCGTTCAATCATTCGTGAATAAGCCCTCAAACAACAGAAGGCCCTATGCGAACGATGAACGGCCATTTAAAAGAGAGAAACATCGACAGCAAAACAATGTAATCAGAAGCTCCGCAACCAAAGCTAAGGCCCTTTGGTGTCACTGTCAAGTTGTTAGTCCTGCTACCAATGCTGATAAAGTGAGAAGCCGAAGCGAACCACTTACAGCTCCACCGAACCCCTCCACGTACTGTCTCAGCATCTCCCGCGCTCGCTGAGGGTCGATGGGCGTGAGGAGATGCGTTGTATACACGTACTGGGAGTCCGCGGGCGGCATGAGCTCCCTCAGGAGAGTGCCCGCCACGATCGTGTACATGCAGATCCCCTGTTGGCTGCCTTGGCTCTGCGCGGCCGTGGCCGTCGTGCACCGGTACGCTTGCGTGGCCATGGTCATGTCCCGGCCGTACTCTTGAGCGTGGGCAGGGCTGTTGACGTCCTTCACCATCTGGTGCCCCTCGTCCTTGATGAGGAGGACGAGGACGGTGTCGACATCCTGGCGACGATCCAGAGTGACGGGGTTCACCAACGACAGATGGTGTTGCTTGATCGCCCGCATGACTGCAGTCAGACAAGAAAGGGGAATGTGACCAGGAGCCGATGCAGCCGCAGATCATGGAGCACCTGCACTTTCTTTTTGACGATTGTCACAATGTTAGCGGGGGGCGTTTCGACAGACAAGCGAGGCCACAACAATGTCAAACAGTTCGAGAACCTTGGGTTTTGAGCAGCCTCGTCAGAGCTTTGAAGAGCATTACCCTACATCACACAAGAATCCGACAAAATCCGACATCTGCGCTTAGTGCTCCCTGCTGTCATGGATTCTGCAAAGGCCAAAGTACGGGAAGAATGAGGGTCCAAACCTGAAGGCCAGAGGAAAAAGTTTCCAGTAGAATCAACTCCGAGCCACGAGAGGTGCATCAACAGGGTGGAGTAAGTGGACGCTCATTCGACAAGATTTTGTTTTGGACTGTGGGAAGTTGTCGAATTCGACAATTGCGCAAAGGAAGCAACCAGATTGCAGGCCAGCTACTCGTACATCCAACCGATGATGACCCGCATCTAACAGGACTTGCATCAGAGGTCGAGAGTGGAGATCGAGGAAAAACTTGGCCCCAACCTTACGCTGGCACTGCAAAAATGTGTTTTTGGTGCCAGACGTTCCTTGTAACGACAATGAACCTCTGAGAAGTCCCTGAACCTTGTACGTTGCAAAATTGCAGCAATAGAGTTCTTGAACGCATTGGATCAAGCACAGTGCATCGAAACGCTCGTACAAGAATGAACACAGGGTCAAGGCTCCTAATGAAAAGGACACAAGACCAGAAGAAAGAACAATGACGGGATTGAAAACTGATCGTCCACTTTAAAGATTGGAAGACACACGTTACAACCGGTAGGATACAACCGGCAAGAAAGTGTCACGAATTTAGGCAGGAGAAGACAAAAGTTGGAGTTCGAATCAACAAATGCTCCCAGCTTAAGGTCCCTACCATTTCTCAATATGCACTTACCTCGAACAAATTTCCACACCCTTATTAAGGCAGTGGCATCGGGACCTGACGAGGCCCTCACCACACTCAGCAAAATCGAGACTCTTCCGGTCCCTCGCCACAACAGACCAGATCTGTCCACATCGGCTTACCTGTTGCCATTTCGAGCGTGTTGGCAAGCGAACCGAGCGCAGCTCGCACGTCCGCAGGCTTCTGTTGTACGTATCCACACAGAACCCGAAGCGCCTCAGAATACCGCGCAACCTTGGTCCCGACTTTGAGCTCCTCCGAGTCCACCGAGAGCCCGTCTCCCATAAAGTCGAGGTATATCGGGATGGTGGTGACCTCCGACTGTCATAAGTCCACGTACTCCCGTGCCATCTCTCCACCCAGAGACCCCTCCCGCTCCAGAATTTCGGCCACAAGCTGTTCCGGGGGTTCGGTTTTCGGGAACCGCAGCAGCTCTTGCATGAGACGGGTCTTTCCCGAACCCGTTGGCCCCTCCACGTAAGCAAGGCCAGGGTAGCCCTCCTTGGCGTGCTCGTTCCCTTCCTTCATCCCTTTGTACGCCATCGCCATCTGCATGAAGAGCGAACCTAAGTGAGAACAATCGCCCTTCTGATCCTGCAAACATCTAACATGAAGATAAAAGAAGTGGGACCTTGTTCCTCAACTTCGGTACGACGACCTTCGGGCGGTGGTGCACCGCGTGGGAATGGCAGCTGTCTGGATGAACCCAAGAAGAGACCATAAAAGACGGCAAGCAGACTGCCAGCAATAACCAAAAAAAGAAGGGGAAATCTCAAGCTGGCAATGAAAAGTGGTTATCTGCGCAAGTAGGAAGGGCGATGATGCTGCCAAACTGGTTAGAGCAATCGAAGCATTGGAATTACGTGAGAAATCCAAAGACAAAACTCAAATGTCTCGATGCAAAACCTTAGAGAGGGGCGTCCAACTGCTAGCCAGCTGGCAGGAAAGTGACAGAGGCAAACAAAGGCAGAACCTCGCTCATACTGGCAAAGATGGTGCTTGACCTCCCCTTCAAAAAACACAAGTGATTGTTCCCAAGTTGACAGTACGAACAACTGGCAGAGTCAACACTTCGCTCTGGTCAACACTTCGCTCTGGTGAAATTTAAGGGCAGATGGGTCGAGCCCGTCTGCTCGGTTTGGAAGGGGCCATGGCTCTGAAAATGGCTTACACTTTTGTCAAGAAACCAAGAGGTTGCTCAAATTAGCAAGTGAATCTGGTCTCAGTAAATGATGCTAAGAATCTGTGCAAAGGGTGGCCAGTTCACAGCAAAGGGCTCAATTTTTTACAGTAAAACGACATAAGATAAGCGTCAAACCCTAGAAACCCCTGTCAAAAAGGTATGTCATGGTACTGCGAGAGCTTCCGCCGTACCTTAGAGAGAATGTTGAGAAGGTCCGAAGTCCGCTCAATGAACGGCAGCTCGTTGGACTTGGGCGTGACAGGTGTAACCTCCAGCTTTGTCCTTGTTAGATAGTTGGCGACCGGGGCCATTTGTGTGACGGTTGGACAGGGTCACACGCTGCC